ATCTACTATACACACACATACACACACATTGCATCTACTATACACACAAATTGCATCCACTATACACACACACACTCTGCATCCATTATATACACTCATGCTCTGCATCCGCTATCCACACATTGCAAACATTACAAAATACACACACGCTGCATCCACTATACAAACACACAATGCATTCACTACACACACCGCATGCAATCCAAAGACACTGCAGACACTGCAAACACTGCATCCACTACACAAATACACACTCTGCATCCACTACACAGATCCTGCATTCACTACACATATTGCATAACATAATGGATGTGGGCATTTTTTGCTTGGTGTGGTTTTGTTGGGGGGGAGAGGTGAGGGGGAGAGCAGTATTTCAACCTTTGATTCAAGAAACACAATGCCTTAGGCTGGCCCTGGTGGTGTCTATAAAAATGCTGTAAGATAGAGGAGGCTGTATTCAGATTAAAAAAATACTTAATGGGGACTTTAAGAGGTTGTACAGTTATGGGAGACATACAAAAAAAAAACTATGACAATAGAGATGTTTTAAATAAACAGCAATAGACCAGGATTCTGGTATTTCCAAATTCTGTTTCTTTGTGGACTCTGGACATTGCGATACGGTGTGGACTGGGAACAACTGAAATAGAGCACAGGGTTTAGGAATTGTTAGCAAAGATACTAATCGTTCAGTTTCAATGATCAAATTAAAATTTCTGAATTTAATGCTTCTCAAAGAGAAGATTTAAAAGGGCGACTATAGTCACCATAAAAAACTTTAGCTTAATGTAGCAGTTTTAATGTATAGATTATATTCCTGCCGTTTCACTGCTCAATTATCTGCCATCTAAGAATTAAATCACCTTTCTTTATCTTTATGCAGAAAGTGTTTAGGAAGGCTGAGCAAGTCAATGCAGGGAGGTGTGACTTGGGCAGCATAAACAAAGTGATTTACCTCCTAAATGGCAGAGAATTGAGCATAACTGAGAAGTGAGACTGCAGGGGCATGATTTATACACCAAAACTGCTTCATTAAGCTAAAGTTGTTTTTGTGCCGATAGTGTCCCTTTAATTATTAAATCTGCTTGGTTCAGAAGTCACTAGTGGCTGTCTGCTTCTTTTCTTTTTTTTTCAGAAATAGCTCTGTTTGTATTTGCAACATGCAGAGGCAGTAGCTATATCCCAAAAATCAGTTCATTAAGATGAAGTGAAATTGGTTCATATGCTGTTCTTTTAAGGATGCATGCTCAATATCAATAACAGACTTAACATTTACATGGAAACTTGGTATCACTGAATACCATTCCCCATCTAATCTACCCTTCTCGGTGGCCTCTGACAATCTGCACTTGTAGCTTTATCCCACCTTCTTATTGCGCATATTCTTTATTCCACAAGTATTTGTTGTCTTCTATACATTTTCTTACTCTCTACATTGAAATGTTTCACCTATATATCACCATTCTTCATTTTCTTTCCCTTCTTTCACATATATAATGTTGTTTAGCATTGCAATATGATTTGCACTATTATTAACGTTTAAGCATGTTTACGTGTAATACACATGCATATTAATGTGTTTTATTTGTAAAAACAAGCCATGTTATATGCACGTATCATACTGTGATAAGCAGTATTATTACTCAGTAGGAATGACTGAAAAGAGTATTGATGCTACAGCGTTTCTCATTTTAAGAGATTCTATGGCTCCTCATAAACTGTAGATTAAAGTAAGTTTTTGTTGTGGACAAGGACATACATCAAACAAATAAGATTACATCAAAGCGGAACTTTTAAACATTTATTTAAATGTAACAGAAAGCTTACATATCTTTTTGTTGACTCGGATAAAATACTACACATGTAACAAACAATTACTCAAAATGCTATAGTTCAAACAGGTGAATGACTTCCATGGCTTAATAGCAGGTTTTTTTTTGGCAGGGTATGGAATCTTATAATTCAAAAACAAAATGAACCATTTTCCTATTTCTGAAAGGTAGTAACTATCATGTTTAAAGGGATATGTCACCAATAAAACCCATATTAGTTTTTAACTTTATCTGGTAAACACAACCCCAAATGAAAAAGTTTACTCACCTTTTTATGCAGCAGTGATTCCCCTCTCACCACTTCTACACTCCACCCCGGATAACACCAGTCTTCTCTTCCTATCCCAATGGAATAGGTACATGTGCATTCATTGTCTGTAAATGTGCCAATCAAATGCATGAGTCGATTATATTATCCAAAGATATTTGCTTTTATAGCACTGGCTTATGTTTTCCTATGAAACTTTTCACTCATGAGATCAAACAATCCTGAACAATCGTTCAGATGCAGTGAATCAGGATGCCCACCTGAATGTCAGGCTCTTACATTTTTCTGGATTGATTCATAAAAGTGTGGGGTGTCCCTTTAATATATATATATATATTTTTTTTTAAAGATTGAGTTGAATTATTTACATGTCTTTGTTGCTTCTATTGATCCAGAAGTCATCAATCCTGATGGTTTTTGTAGAATCGTGTGCTTGAACTTTTTTTTTTGGACTAATCTTTCCTGTCTATAAAGCAAATGTACCCCTTCATCAATTAGATTTATAATAATAAGAAATGAGTGTTCTGCATCTGTTAACTCCATTTTAACCCCTTAAGAATAATTTACACTTAATGTCATAATTTTATTATGATCATTAAAGGGACACTCCACTGCCCAAATACAAAACACTGTTTGGTATTTATACCCTAAATGAAAACATGCATGCATTTAATTCTGGATTTTTTTCATTGGGGTATAAAACTGTATGGGTATATTGCTATATTATTAATTGATACATTGAGTTTTCTTTCATTTTCAAGTATGTCCAGGGACCAGCTATATTGCATTGTTACAATAGGGTACAGCATAGTATTAAAAATACAAAATAATAGTAAAATACACATTATCATATTAAAAATATAACATATTATTTAAATACACATATACATGTAACACAGAACAGGTAAGAAATATAATCAACCATGATTACAGGTGCATTCTGTATTGAGATATGTTGACAGCGATGTCTTAAATGATTTTAGTGTGGAGGAAGATTTAAATGTGTCCGGGAGGTTGTTTCATAATTGCGGTGCTCTGTAGGAAAATGAGAATCGACCTACATTCTTTTCGTAATGTGGTATACTAGATAAAGTGCTGGTACTAGATATGAGATTATAGGAGGTGAGAACGGCCAGGGAGGGCATTCTGCTCAGATCCGGTGGGAGCTTCCCAGAGAAACTCTTAAGCACAAAGCTGGAAAGATGGAGGGCGCGTCTGGATTCCAGCAATAGCCAGTTTAACTCTTTTAACATGTCACGATGGATTATCATCTAATTACATTGTAGCATAAAGAGAGTGATCTATTTAACATAGTAATTTAATAAAGGTGGGTTTGCGGCCCAGGCACATACATTACATCCTCGCACAATCTGCTTCCTTACCGCAGGGCTTCGGCAGGATTTTTTTCTGTACAAGGTGTAACGGATCACCTGGCACCCCGACTGGGTACCTCCGTTGAAGGATGCTCCTAGTGCTTACAGAGGGCTCCAAGCGCTCCGCAGACAACACAACCACCACAGACCCCACAAACCACCACAGCTTGGTTGGGGTCTCGCCATCTCCTACCCACCCTGGACCCACGACAAGGCTCCAAGTTCCAGTGGGTGAACCTCTCCTCCAAGAGAGTGAAGCAGGAACAAGCTCTTAAAAGAGCTTAGTAGTGATTAGCTAAGGGAGTATGCAGAGCATAGCAATCCCTTGTAGTGATATAGCAATTCCCCCAATAAGAGACAGGACTCTAGATTGAGGGTGAAGAAGAACTCCATTTACTTGGCACCAAAGGGCCTTCTTTTATGCAGGTTTAACACGTACAGGACCACCCACAGGGTTTTACAGAACAACCAGTAAACACGTAGTATACAGTACAAACACTCCCATACATCTCCTCCCCTTTGCCTGAGAGGTAACACAATTAGCCGTACAGTGTAAAACATACTTTTTACCCAACTTTCATAACTCTAAAACTATACATCCAATATTAATAAAAGTCACATATTATTAATCAGCATATTTCAAATACAAACATACCCAAAAATCATTCTAATCCGTTCAGCCGTTCGGGAGATAGATATAAGTCACCTTTGACTGACCGCAAGCACATTTTCCTGCCCAAAACAGTTCCATAAATTTGGGCTGTGTGGTCGGTCAATTTCACACTGAAAAAATGACTAAGTCCCATTTGAATGTGCGTTCGAATCTTTGAACAGGACCTAGTCTCTGTGGCTGAAAACCCAGTGCAGGAGAAGGTAAGGGTCAGCACTGTTCGTTGAAATGTGTAGCCGATTTCAGTTCCATGGATTTGGCTACGCATACCACTGACCTCGTTCGAATGAACAAAGAAGGCGAGATGTTTGTCGAATGGCGGCCACTTCGACTACTTCGGCATTTCAGCTGTATCTGAAGTGCCAATTTAAAGTTGCAACAATGCTCCAAAGTAATTAAGGAGCCTGAATCAGCATTCTAAAAATCCATTATGCCCAAATACAGTTCTTAAAGGGTCAGTAACAGTATAATATAAGTCCATAATGTCAGAATATTTATATCAACAGACATTTTGTGCTAAAAAGAAATTAAAAGTGTATATTGCCAAAGTCACTCAGAACAGAGCAGACTCCATTTTGCTATCTTCAGGATAACAAAAACACATAATTTCCTTGATTTCTTCTTACTTCTGTAACTAGCCACTTGCTTGAGCTAAGGAATGCATTTATCTAAACACAGACACTAGTGACAGTGAAGACTAAGTAATTAATTTTACTTTCTACATTTTACAAGGTTCCATTGTAAAATAAGGGGTGAAATTGAGTTTAGAACTGTCAATTTTACAAGTTACGACCAAAGTAGTTGCCACAAAGACTGGGACAAACTCTTTGAACTGACAGCTAATCTAAGTTATGGTAGTGATTTTAGATAAGCCAAATGACGTCAAAATCGTCATCAGGAAAAGTTAACTCTTTCCTGGATAGGAAGGTTTCGTTAGACGAGACTGCCATCTATGGATCAAATACCTAAATTGCGATCCATCGATTGAATCCACCTACGGCTTCCTATTGGTTTATCAACTAATGACGTACAAAGAGTCTGGCCCTTTAAAAGTAAGGACAAAGGGATAAAGTGGGAGGATACATGGAGATACATACAGAGAGACGAATTGAAGTTTGGGGAATTCCGATTCGGACATGCAGAGAGAGAGACTCAGAAACAATCTATGAGACTAACACTCTACTCTTAAAACTCTTAACACCACTTTCCCTATCACTCATGCCCTTCCATACAACCAGTCAAGTTTCTGGGACTACCTATTCATCTGTTGAGAATCTCTACATAACTGGTAACTATGCTGGTTTTATTTAATTAATTTAAATTAATTTAAATTTACTAATAGCATGATATATGACTGGATAAATCACGGTCAGATTTCAATATTTAGAAATCTTAGTTAACTAAAGAATATATAGTTATAGCATTCCATTCTGCAGGTGGAATTAAGAATAATTATATATTAATGTGATAGTATCACGTGTTAGCATAGCGCTGTTTTTATCCAGGTGTATTGATTTGCTCTAAATTAAGATAAGATATCTTTTTAGGCAAATTAAAATTCTGCTTATAGAATCTGGTAGATTATTCTTATTGGATGGTTCCAGGAAATGACTAATGAGCTGGTTTAAATGTTATTTTAATTGAAAATCACAGGAGAATAGGATACTATATGCCTAGGAGGATCTAGCCAACATTGAAAGGGTTATTCAGTTGACTTAACTGTTAGCCAGGGTTTTATGGCTCTTCGCTGTGAAAAGCTTTACTTTTTGTCTGTAAGGATACCCTCATAAATCTTAAGTGACAGCTGGTGCTGTTAGCCTTTGGAACATGTAAAGCTATTCCATTGTATTGCATATTTATGTTGTACTAAATATTCACTGATTATTATCATGCATGCTGCCTAATATTATTGTTAATTATTGGTCATAATAAATAAATCTGTTTTTATAACACATTGTGATCATTAATTGTATGGAATACTTTTCACTTATTTGATAACGATCTCTAAGATCTAAGAGAATTGAAATAGTGGGCAATTCTCGACTGCTTAATATTATCATCCCATAAATATCCCCACAATAAGCCCCAACTCAGTTCCTTAAAGGGCAATACATCCCAGGGGCCATAGTCACATGGCAGGAGGCTGGCAAATAGGCCCCTCCAAAAACCAGTGGCGAGGTCACTTTCGCCACACAAGGTACCTAGTTTTGGATAATGTTTTGATGAGAGTTTTTTAATGTGGAGGTCAAAGGGGTCCAGCAACATGCCTAGATATTTGAAAGAATTAACTGTGGTCAGTGTACTATTTGATTTTGTTTTGATGCATAGCTCTGAATTTTTTAATTTAAGTAATTAAGTACTGTTACAAACATTATTTTGTCAGTGTTTTGGAAACGTTTGTTATCTGCAATCCACTTTTGTACCTCTGCAAATTTGGTTTGCAAGCATAGATATAAATGTATATACAACCCTGCAGGTCCCTGTTGCCCAGCATAGTGGAGAGAAGCCAAGAAGATACAAAGTTCCAGCTCCAGCGGTGTCCTCTAGTGGACCCAAGCTGTCAGAGCTTTGCCGCTGGTTACCATGGCATAGCTCTGCATGGCACACATGCTGGGCTCATGAAAGAAGGGAAGACTGTCTGGCTGCCGGAAAAGTAACATGGACTCTCTTGGACCCCCTCATGCGTATACAGGCATGCTGTGCTGCCAGACCACTAGGGATTCTAGTGTCCTCCCTCCCTGGCCACAGGTAAGAGGCAGTTAGGAGGGAATAAACATTTTATAAACACAAACATACAAGCACATTCTGCATCCACTACACACACATTGTACATTCACTATACACACTACAATCACTCCACACACACACACACACACACACACTGCATCCAATACACACACACACACACACACATTGTGCATCCACTAAACACACACACTGTCAGGTTTCAAAACTGACATGTAAGACTTTTTAGTTTATTACAGGCCCTTTAAGTGAACTTCATGATTTTCTCCTCTAGTGGCCTCCCTAGCCACTAATCTATTCACTCACCTTAATAACCTCACCTGTATTAACTAATAAGGAGGTTTTATAAGTCTACTCCCAGCACATAACAGTGGCTTGACATTGAAGTCTATGCTCTGATAAAGAATCTGTGTTCCTGGTAATATCCTGTATTTTATCTACATGATTTCATTCTGTAGAGAACTTACCTGCAGTGCCTCATCCTGTACTCATCTGCATTTCCTCATACTGAAAGGCACTAACCTGCATTACTTCATCCTGAACTTGCCTGAAAGACTTTCCTTATCAGCTTCCAAGAATCCTGATTTGTGGCGTATTGCCTTCATTGAAGAATCTTAAAGGACCACTCTAGGCACCCAGACCACTTCATCTTAATGAAGTGGTCTGGGTGCCAGGTCCAGCTAGGGTTAACCCATTTTTTAATAAACATAGCAGTTTCAGAGAAACTGCTATGTTTATTAATGGGTTAAGCCTTCCCCCTAATCCTCTAGTGGCTGTCTCATTGACAGCCACTAGAGGCGCTTGGGTGCTTCTCACTGTGATTTTCACAGTGAGAGCACGCCAGCGTCCATAGGAAAGCATTATGAATGCTTTCCTATGTGACCGGCTGAATTCGCGCACAGCTCTTGCCGCGCGTGCGCATTCAGCCGACGGGGCGGAACGGAGGAGGAGAGAAGGAGGAGAGCTCTCCGCTCAGCCCTGGAAAAGGTAAGTTTAAACCCCTTTCCCCTTTCCAGATCCGGGCGGGAAGGGGTCCCTGAGGGTGGGGGCACCCTCAGGGCACTATAGTGCCAGGAAAACGAGTATGTTTTCCTGGCACTATAGTGGTCCTTTAATCAACCTGCATTATATTATTTTGGAATATACCTACCTGTTTCAACCTCTGCAACTCTGCATGATCTTGTATTGTCTTATCCTAAAAGATATTTACCTATTACTAGCTGCATTGCAAAGTATTTTGGAAATCCTTAACTACTTGGTATAACTGCAAGCCTGCTTGTATACAAAATACTTTATTCATTTATTTTTTAAAGATCTTGTTTGTGGCATATCGCCTAAACCCTGTTTTTTTTTCTCACAAAGTATCCTGTTTGTGGCAGACTACCCTTTATTCTTTATTTCAGTAAATTTGTTATGTCTAATACGACAAAGTTTTAACCAATAACTCTTGCAATTGTCTCCTCTCATAGTAGGGAAGACCCTAATAAAACCTTCCTGATGCCGTGTCAGCTATTACATTGCGTGGGAAAATTTCCCACATATGTAATGTTAAGACACCCCTGGTGTCTTTAAGAGAAACCGCCGTGTAGTTAACCTTCCCCTTTCGCAATACCAATAACTCCGTTCGCATAGACTGTAGTATACGAACCACCATCAGGGGAAGCGGTAATCTCCCGACCGGGATCCGTGAAAGGCTCTAAACTCCTGAACGGAAATCCACGAACTGCTGCTAGCCGCCGAACAACGATATTCACCAAGCGGCTTTCGGTTCCAATAATCAGTCTCTAGGCGCAAATAAGAAATCCCCCCAATAATGAGACAGAAGCTCCGCATTGAGGGTCAAACAGGATCTGGCTTTACTGTGGGCTACCTGCCCGTATTTATGCAGGTCTCCCACTTGGTGGACACTCCCCTAGGGGACCAAATGGGAGACAGTAATGACAGATAGACATGGGGACATTTCAGACATACAGACGTAACCTTTTCCCACAATGCAATATGGTTTCCTCCCCTCTGCCCTGGAGATAATTGAGAAGTAATTAAATTATCTCCAGGACAAGGACAAATCGCCATCTTAAATAAAATGCCAGAAAATACATAAAAATACATAACTTTAAAATAACCGAACATTTCACATTCGCATCACATATCCCCAGATAGCCTGGATCTGAGGGCATATTATTGGCGAATAGCGCTCAGATCCCACACACATAGTTCAATCGCCATGGAGTCAAAGTCCTTACAGTCTTTCGGTATGCGATTGACTCCATGGGAAGGCTATCTGGGTTAAGTCCTTTCGTGTGTTGTAAAACTCCCGAACGGCCTGTGTTCGTACGCTTTTGTGAGGCAGCCAGGCGACCCGTTGTTTCAGCGGTGTTCGGCAGAAAAAGTGTCCATTTTTAGTTCCATGAAATCAGTGCTGAACACCGCTGGGCTTTCGTGTGTTTTAAAATGGCCGCTGCCTCGTGGTCGACATACGAACGACGGCCACCCTGAATTCGGTTTAATTGAGAAGTGTCTGCGGTTAACCACAACGTTCTAATTGGGATCAAGAGGTTAACCAGCAGCACACTTCTATCCTGGGTGGCCATCCGTTCGGTAGATTTGTTCGGTGAAAAACAGTCATTCGTATTACTGGACTATAGAAACAGCCGTTTACACAAAAGGTGGCAGAAATAGACAAATCCACCACAATAGACAGACAGATGGTTCTGTCACATGTAATATCAATAAGAGGGCTCTGATTTGTTGGCTTCTAACCTCCATTATAATAACATGGGAGTCTTATTGACCCATTTTGTTTTGTGGTGGCTGGCTAGAGAGAGCTGGTCAGGTATTGCATAATTAACCTTCACATTGCTGAGGATTATTTAACTATGTATGAGCTCTCACTGAGACCTCTTAAAAGCCTGTGGGGTCTTAACTTAGAAAAACTCTGAACTGTTTGACAAGTCAATACTCTGGCATACGAAACAAAATATGCTTTTTTACTGTAAGAACAATCAGGATGTGGAATTCTCTACCTGAGGAAGTGGTTTTATCAGAGTCCATACAGGTTTTCAAACGGCTACTAGATGCATACTTTGTCAGAGTATTTATATCGGCAGACATTTTGTGCTATGATAGAAACTAAAAGTGTATATTCTGAGTCACTCTGAACAGACCAGACTCCATTTTGTTATTTCAAATTAACAAAAAAGACACAGGATTTCTTTCTGTAAGACTGGCCTCTTTGCCAGAGCTAAGGAATGCATAGTATAAACAAGTGATAAGGAAGGGGGTTGGACAGACTGTCTAATGCTAATGGAATATAATCAAATCT